TTGGAGGTGGGCCTGCTGTACACCTCTGGTTAGATGATCTGTTCCTGGATTAGCTATGTGATTTTGACCCTAGTCTCTCACTACGGGGACTTTAGCTCCAGGGTTTTACCTCAAGTCTGTATGCTAGGTCTGGGCTGGGTCTGGAGGGGTATGAGGAGCGGGGGCTAGAGAGCCCAGAAGCTCTCCAACACACTCACCAGTGTTGTGTTTTGGTGGGTCTGCAGGACTCCCAAGAGCGCAGCAGCAGTTCTTAACTCAGATGGCAGGCTGCGCTGGGTCTCGGCGGTGGGAGGGGGTCTGGAGAACACGGGGAAGTGCCTCTCTCATGTGGAGGGCCTGGCCTGGAGCTGCGGGCTGGCGCAGGACAGAGCAGAAGCTCTCCCCCACACTTGCAGGGCCTGGGGTTGGTGGGATATGGGGGGCAAAAGGCGCGGTGGAAGTTCTCACCCAAAATACGTTTAAAAAAAAAAAGTTCCAGTTAAGGAAATTTGTTGGAGTCCTTAGTATAAAATCTAATGTTTTCTAATAATAAGAATTATAAACTTTGAAAATTGAAATAAATCATTTATTAATTTTTATCTTTTTCTACTTTTAGGTTTTGTAGGTCTATTTAACCTGCTACTCTTGTGGCCAGGTTTCTTTTTACTTCATTATACTGGATTTGAGGACTTCGAGTTCCCTAATAAAGTGGTGTTAATGTGCATTATCATTAATGGCCTTATTGGAACGGTTCTTTCAGAGTTCCTGTGGTTGTGGTACGTTCTGTTTTTTCTCCTGCAATATAGCAGTTATCAGTTTCCCAACATTGACTCTTTTAGAGCAGGGACTTTGTGTTTAACCTTTCTGTGCCCCTTGTGCAGAGGTAGTGCCTTACGTACAGGAGGGGCTCCGAAATACTGAGCAAGTGAATACAGATGTTTGCACGAATGATACAGAGTATTTTAGAAAGCTGAGCACTCTTGTCAGTGAAAGTAATCATTGTCTAATGGACATCGATACTTAGGACATGTGTATGCCAAGTATTAATTTATGAATTCTATAGGAGAAGCTAGGGGCTGTTGTTTACTTTGGCTGTTCCTACACTTTTTCATTTTGTTTGTTTTCAGGACCAGATACATCATAAACTGATTAATTTGAAATGTTAACATATTGTGATACTGTTGTTGAATATGTTGACTATGATAAGCTTCAAGTCACTTTGAACATAGTATCATGTATGGAGTTTGAGCGACCTTTTGAGTATAAAGGTTTATACTTTCCTAATAGGAATTTTGAAAAAATGCAAGTTATGCTTAAATTCACAAATGAATTTTATTACATACCAGATGACACTACTAAGTAGTTTCTTCTCACTAATGACAACTACACAGATAGCTTTTCCCAGGAGATCTTCCGGGCTCTGCCTGCACTTTTTTTTTGTTTTGTTTTTTAATGTATTTAGTGGTCTTCAGGGTCTCACTACATGAATTGGACTCATAGTGATCCTCCTGTTTTCAACCTCCCAAGCACTGGGATTCAGGCGTGCGCCATCACGCCCAGTCTCAGTCACGTCTCACCAGGGGCAGGGCCAGCATGTCACGCCAGGGGTTGAACCCTGGTTCCTGTGCCTGTCTAAGCAAGCGCTTTAGTCTATTGAGCTATCTGGCTGGCCCTCTGCCTGCACTCTTCTCTCACACTTCTAGTTCAAGAAAAGAATTTTTTTTTTTCTTTTTGGTACCAAGAGTTGAACTCAGGACCTTGTACTTTCCAGGCAGGCACTTGTGCCACTGAGCTATATCCCTGGTTTGTTTTCTTGATAATCTTTCTCTTACACTCTTATATATAGTATTACAGATTAGTTTATATTTTAATAATTTGTGTATTCCTTGATATAAAACTTTTTAATACCAGTTTCTTTACTCAATTCATTTCTATACCTTTTATTACATTCATTTTAGGTACTCTGTTGTTTCTAACCTGAAAATTAATTGATAACAAATATTCAACTATTAGTAACTAGGGAAAAGCTGGAGCGAGTCAAATAAGTTTTTAGTACTACTGGGTTTTGTATTATAGTTCGTTATATGATAAATACCTAAAAATACGTGCTGAATTTTAAAAGATGATAATAATTTACTTTCTTCTTATATAAGCCTAAGTGTTGTTCTTTGTAAATGGTTCATCTGTCTCTATTTAGTATAATATTTTTTTTCAACTACACACATTTTTTTTTTTTTTTTTGCGGAACCAGGGATTGAACTCAGGCCCTTGCACTTGGCAGGGAAGCACATATTCCACTGAGCCATCTCATCCCAGCCCCTCAACTACACAAAACTTTATGCGGATATTTTAATTAGAATTTGGTGCAACACTGGTAATTTGTGTAAAAAGAAAATAGTTTTTGATTAGATCAATTGTTAGATAAATAAAAAATAGGATCTTGATACTGCTGTTTTTTCTGTTAATCAAGTATTATAAAACTGTAAAACCTACTTAATTTTTTGCATATATAAAGTGTTCAAAGTTGGGTGTTCAGCTGTATTCAAAGTTGCATAAATAGCATCAAGTACTTTGAACTCTGTACTTATTTATACTTTCACTATTTGAAGATAAACTTTGGAATCATTTTAATAGTATGTTTTGAGTATCAGTCTAAACGTCTGTCTTCCTGATTTGTCCAGCCTATACTATAGGAGAAAAAAATCTTAAAATTATATTTTGAATGTGCAAGTTTTTTTTTTTTTCAGGGGCTGCTTTCTTACCTCATCCCTGATAGGCACCCTTGCCCTGAGCCTTACAATACCTCTGTCCATAATTGCAGATATGTGTATGCAAAAGGTAAGGCAAACTATTTGTTAGTTTTTTTTAAGTATGATACTAAGACATCTAATGAAAGTTAAGGAATGTGTCTAAATTATAACAAATACAAACATGAACAACACTTTGATTCCTTTTTTCTCCAAGATGCTTTACTACCCAGAAAAAAAAAAAAAAAAAAACAAAGAAAAGCATTTTTTAGTTTTTCTTTTTTTTCTGAATTTGTAGGTTAAGGACAGTACCTTTATATGTAATACTGTAGTTTACATTGATTGTGGTATAAATCAGCAGTGTGGAGCAGGAGGTACCTTTTATCACATCTCTGAGTTAGCTCTGCAGATGTTAAACTTCCTTCACATTCTGACAGTACAACTACAGAAGCGCACCCCGCATCAGTACTGTAGTGCTCAGCGGGCGTTCATCTCAGGACACGGGCGTCCTGCCCCCCGGTGGAGCTTGCTCTGAGGCAGGATTCTAATGTCGGTGCTGGCAGTGTCGGCATCTCAGAAAAGAGATGTGTGCTGCTACCAGCCTTGAAGGGAAGCCTCCTTGGGTCGCAGGAGGAACAGATGTGCCTTTGCCTAACGCTGAAAGACGGAGGTGAGCTCCTTACGCAGTCCTTGTAAGCTGCACCTAACAACAGTGATGAGAATACTTGAAGGCCAAAGGTTTATGACACATACAGGTAATAATCTGGTAGTTAAAGCTGTTTTTCTTTAGGTATTTGTGCAGTTCGGGAGATAAAAGAAGAATCCCAGTGATGTGTATTCTCATTAATTGAAAAATAATTCTGTGTTAGTATTTCTAGCTTATTAAATATTCAGCCAGATGTTCCAGGAAAAGTTTGTTTACCAATAATTTAACAACTAAATGAAGGCTTTTTAGTTTATCTTAGTAACTGCTCTTACTGGGGTGTTTTTAGGTCTGCTTAGCGTCATGTTCATGCATCATACAAATGGGGTATACATGTTAAAAATTGCCTGTGATTGTTCTTATGTTATGTATTGTGAGTACCTCATAAAAGATGGTGTTCTCATAGAACCCTTTACTCTGATTAATAGTGCCATTAAGTGGAATGGTGTATATTTTCCACAAGAGGGAGTCCTGCCTATAAAATCTAAAGTATTTTTCTTTTTCTTTTTCTTTTTTTAACTCAAAAAGAATGGTTTTTCTTCCCTTTTTAAAATATAAGAGTTACTATTTTCATCATTATTTTTAAAGTGACCACCAGTGATATTGCTCCTGAGTCTTGGGAGTTAATCAGCTCAAGTTTTAAAAGGTGTTTTAGATACCTGCCTGAGTCTAGATGGTGAAGGTAAACTGTATTTTGTTTTGGTAACTTTATAGCATCTCATTTTTAATTTTCTTGATAACACTGATACATAATGGATTAGAGTAGCAGTTAGTGACATCAGGTGCTGTTTTTCACTGAAGCTTGTTTTGCTCCTTGTCTGACTAACATTCTTTAGTAGAAATATTCATATATATCTTGGTTTTACTTAGTCATTATTTTGTTTTATTGTATTTTTTTATTTGTTAGTAAGTAAATAATTTGAACCAGCCAGCTTTGAGTATCATGATCAGAATTTATTGCAGGTAGTTAATAAGTTTGCAAAAGTTGTACTTCAGAGTTTCATGTGGTTTTACTACTGTCTGAAGAGCTGTAACGTAATGCACGTACAGGATAACATTTTTTTTAAACTGAGTTTTTATTTTTTATTTTTATTTTTATTTTTTTTTAAACTGAGTTTTTAGAGATGAAACTGACAGGGAGGAATCCATCTGAGGACAGGCAATAATCACGCAGAAACGTGAAGTGTGGCTGCCCCCACGGATAAAGCCAATTTTTAGATATTCTTTTTCTTTTTCTTTTTTTTTTTTTTTTTTGCAGGGGGGAACCGGGGATTGAACTCAGGCCCGGAAGCACTTATTCCACTGAGCCATCTCCCCGTCCCCAATTTTTAGATGTTCTTCCTCTGGGCGTACTGTGCCCAGCGAATGAGAGAAGTAGGCCAGCTTGGCTCGTTCACGTTTTCCAAGCAAGGAGCATTGTTGGTAATTTAGGCAAGTGCAATTGTAGGTTGAAGTCCTAAATTCTTGTATTTAATAATAAATTACTTAATAATGTGTTATAACTGCTTACTCTTCATAGATGGCAAACTTATGTTAAAGGGAAAAGTTCCCTTAATGATATTTTTTCCTGGATATTTTATTTTTAGGTGCAGTTTTCTTGGCTCTTTTTTGCAGGCGCTATCCCTGTGTTTGTTTCATTCTTTATTGCAACTCTCTTGTGCCATTATAATAATTGGGATCCTGTGATGGTAGGAATCAGAAGAATTTTTGCCTTTATATGCAGAAAACATAGACTACAGAGGTAAGTTTAGTTTTCCACATAGAATTTTACAAATGATTTCCTAAGTGAAAAGGGAGTTTAGAGATTTTGTAAGAAATTATCCAAAGAGGCTACTGGACTCTTTTAGAATATTTTGCTGAGTTTACACACCTATAATATTCAAATAATGGAATTTAACAAAAAAAGGGTATACAGATGTATGTCCATTTTGTATCGGTGTATTCAAATTGGTTAGGATAGATATATAGTTACATTCTCTTAATGAATAGAGTGATTTGTTCTAATGGTGTTTGTAAGTAGGATATCATGTCTGCATCTTGTACAGCAATTAACCACTAGGTAGAATGTATGCAATGTGTTAATTATTGAAACTGTCCTACCAATTTGATTTGAAACTATCTCATTGCTATTTGTGTATCAATAAAATTATGGAAAAAAAGAAATTATCCAAAGATTATAATTTTTTAAAATTTTTATTTTTTCATATTTAGGACAGGGTGTACAGGGTCTTACTGCATAGATTGGACTTGTAGTGATCCTCCTGTTTGCAGCCTCCCAAGTGTAGGGATTACAGACATGTGCCACCACGCCCAGTCTCAGTTGCCATCTCAGTGCACCCTGGAGGCGGGGCTGGTATGGCAGGCTTGGGGATTGAACTTCCAGCCTGTGTCTGCCTAAGCAGGCGCTTTAATCCAGTGAGCTATTTGGCCAGCCCTTTATAATTTATTTTTATGTTATGCCAGGAAAAAATAATTCTGCTCAAATTCTTCTAGTCATAAAATAGTTTTAATTGCTGCTTTTTAGAAAAAAATGCTAGGCCTGGCCAAATAGCTCAGTGGATCAAAGCACCTGCAAGCAGGCACAGGGGCTGGGAGTTCAATCCCCAGGCCTGCCGTACTGGCCCTGTCCCCGGGGGGTGCTGAGATGGCAGTTGAGACTGGGTGTGGTGGTGCCCACCTGTAACCCCAGCTCTTGGGAGGCTGTAAACAGGCAGATCTCTACAAGTCTGATCTAGTAGTGAGACCCTGAACATGCTGTATTCCCTAAAGTACAAAAAAAAAAAAAAAAACAACAACAAAACAAAACAAAAGAAAATGCTTTGATTGATGGGTAAAACCAAAGTGCTTACTGTTTTTCTATAAGGAATTTAATGTAGAAAACTTACTAGTTGGAGCATAATTCATAAGAGAATATGTTATTTCCTTGGATTGTCTTTTTAAAATTTTTTTCTTTTTAAGAGAGAATAAAATTGGACATAGAGACACACTTTTAAAACCAACACTCTGGGAGACCCTGTCTCAAAGTAAAGTGTAAAGAACAGGCTCAAGAATGTAGCTTAGTGCACAGGGCCTGAGTTCAGTTTGCAGTCCTGCAAAATCAGAGAATGCATTTTTACATTTTACACAGAAAGAGCATAGGATAAATTGTGCGGACTCTTGCCCTACTCGAGCTTCCACAGCTGATTTAAATCCTGACTTCACAGCTTTGATAAGCATACTAGATCGTCTTGAGGATTCCCTTTTAATTCTGCGTTACGCTTTTTTGCTGTTCCTTCAGAGCTCCAGAGGACAGTGAGCAGTGTGAGAGTCTCATTCCGCTGCATGGGGTTTCTCAGGAGGATGCAGCTAGTTAGCTGTTGTCTGCACTTCAGGTTTGTATGTGAGCCGGGCTTGGTGTTGGTGTCATAATCAAAACGAAATTGTTATAATTTGATGTTTGAGTGGCGGTATATAGCCTAAAGGCAATATAATCTCAGGGGTCAGAGTGTCTGTGTTTTAATTCCAGGTTTGTGCTGGCTATGTGGCTATGTGTAAATTTCTTAATCTCTTTATGCCTCAGTTTTCCTGTTTGTGAACTGGTGGCGGCAGTAGGTAAACTTCCTTATGAGCTTGTTACAAGTGTGAAATACGTGGTGAGTCATTTAGGGCCTGACTCTAATTAAGTGATCAGTAAGTTATAACAGTTATTTTTATTGCTAAGGGTCATCTTTTTTTAATGATGCACTTTACAAAAATATTTTGTCTATTAAAGAAAAAAATTAATAATTTAGTATATAACCAGCGTTTTCTGAACTGATAATTGTGAATCCTGATTCTGTGATTGTGTTTTCATTGAACAACGTTTCAGGAACATTTTCTCATTTTAAAAGTTTTAGGGCCAGGGAGATGGCTCAGTAGAATAAGTGCTTCCCTGGCAAGTGCAAGGACGTGATTTCAATCCCCGGTTCTGCAAAAAAAAAAAAAAAGGTTCAAGTACTGTCTTTTATTTTTTAAAGGACAGAAATAGTACATGATAGTTAGTGGTTTGCAATAAATGCTTGAAATCCAGTATATATCTTTGGCAGGTATAAAACTGATTATTCATTTAGAATAATAGAGCACAGTAAATCACTAGAATTCTGGAGGTTTGGGTCCCTTCCTACTGAGCTAGTTCTATGAGGTTTCTATTGAAATGTTTTCCAACTGAAGCTAGGTTTTCCCTACCCACCTAGAATATTGTACAATTAGTGTCAACACTCACTTTGGCTCTGAGTCTTAAGTTTCGTGGTAAATTTTCCTCAAGGGTGTGGCAGTATATGCCTGTAAGAGGCTGAGTCAGGAGGATTACTGTGAGCACCATGGTGAGTTCCAGCATGAACTATGTAGGAAGGTCCCGTCTGAAAAAGAAAACAAAAACAAAAAACCCAGTTGGAATTTGACTTCAAACTAAGGCTAATTAATCTTGGCTTCTTGTTTTTCTTGGGTGGGTTTTCTCTTTCCTTGGTGATAGGGATTGAGCCTACTGTCTCACACATGTTGGATAAGGTTCTACCACTGAGCAGCATCCCCCAGTCCTCTGGGTTTTTTAATGTAGTAGTTGTTGCCAAGTGGTTGCCCTTGCACAGCTTGCGTTCTGGCTCTGCCAGACTTCTTGTGCAAGCAGGTTTCTCCGACCCGCCCTCCCCTGTCCTGCCATCTTGCTTTCATTCTTCTCCCCACTCTGAGGAAATCACTTTAAACTCTTAGGTGATTCTTTTGGTATTTACCTTCCTCTATCTTTGCACGCTGTGTTTATATTTTTCTTTATGATTTCTCCACATTGGGTATCCTCAATGACTGTCACTCAGCTGGATGAGGATCTCTGTTCCCATCCAGTAGATGAGCCTGCCTCTCAACCCTACAACTTTCTTTCCACCCCCTCTTATGTAGTTATTTGCATAATTTCAGATAGATTTTTATTATTTATATTTTTACAGCTAAGTAAATGTTAATTTCTGAGCCATGTAGAATAATGCTACTTGATGTTTTCCCAGTTCAGAGCCCCTATATATATGATGCGTATCTTTCAATACTAAGATCAAGTTCAGTGGTTAAGTTCAATGTTTGAACCATAATCATGGGAAGAAGTAAGTTCTGGAACTGAGGTACCACTGTAATTTGCCTTTCAAAGTATAAACTATAGAAGATTAAAACTATGAAAATTTAATCTAATGATTATTTTTTGTTCTGCTTTTTTTTAGCCTGGTGATGGGATATTACAGCGAAGAGACAATCTCTGGCAAGTTTTTATAGAAAAATGTTTCAGTGCCTAGACTGAAAAATAACAGTTTCAGTTCTTTGAAACTCTAAAGTATATTTTCCTCATATCTTTTCTTCATTTTCATAATGGAGTACTTTGCTGTGTCGCTGTGTGCATACCACTGCAGTTGTAGGATGTTCCAGACCACGGTCCATCTAAGGGACTGCCCTGCCTTACATATCTCAAGAACTTGAGTTGAAGAAATCATTTGATTAATCAAGGATTAAAATCCTAATATTCTGAAGACTTTATTTTCACATATTTGTTAAATGCTGGACTATATTATAAAAATGTTTTCAAGAAATCATCTAAGTATGTAGAGCAGTGTTTCTGACAGGTAAGATGCTTAACAGGAGCAGCTGGTAAGAGGCACAGATTATATTTTTGAGTTTTGTAGAATGTCACAAATTACACAGAAAAAATGTTTATGTAGCAAGTATGTTCATGCAGATTTGGTGGAATTTTAAAGAGAATAAATATTAGAGAAAAGCTCTGGCACAGTACATACCATATTCTTTCATAGCATTAGGTGCCTTGTATTTTAAAAATGTGAAAAACATGATAAGTTTTGAAGGGGAAGTATTATAAAATGAAAAATGATGTATTTCTATGGTTTTATTGCTATAAATTTAATTGATAAAGCTCTGTTTAATTTAGAGTTTTAAAGAAATATTCTATCTTCAATTAAGAAATTTTCATAATGGAATGATTAAATTGAAGTCATAGAGTATTATTAAAATAAAATGTTTATATGTGTG